TACTTTCCACGTTTATTATACGTATAAATTCACTAAATCAATGGAAAGAAAAATAATTTTTAAAGAATAAAATTTAGATTTTAATAAAGCTGATCCCACTGGAAATCTATTATTAGAGATGATGAATAAAAACCAGAAACAATTTGGTGATTCAATCCTTCTTTCCTCCTTTTTTTTTTTTTTTTTAAATTACGCAGCAAGATATGCTTTATACCCATATAGATATAAACCAATCTAAATGCCCCAAACCATTACACACTTGCAGAATCAATTTCGAACAGTAGAATTAAAATAAACAAGTTTCATGAATTCTCAAAACTGAGAATAATAATTGAAAATAATTTTGGTTCTCTGATTCCTTCTGCCACAGTAGTGTGCTAGTGATCAAGCCATTATATTATATGGATAGCATAAACGAAAACAAAATAAAATATGATCTAACAAGATTTGGCCTTCATAAATTACAGTAATGTTGAACAACAAACAGAAGGAGGCTCTGATACCAATTGTGAGAATTAAAATAATTTTAATTCAGAAAGAAGAATACCTCCTACCATGATGTTCAAGCCTTTGATTCTTTATCAAATCTTGCATGTATAAACAAAACTCACTCACTGAACACTTTTACAGAACCATATGGGAAAAGTGGAAGGAATAGAGTTTCAAGCCTATTCTATTCACAAAACAACATTTGTGTTTGATGGCTATCACAGGCATATGTATAGATAGGCTTGGATCCATATCCAAGTGTAACTCCTTATAACTTCCCACCATCAGGGAAGTTGTAAGGTCCCATGAAACCACCATATGGGATAGTGAACAGACGTCAGTTACCCCTTAACCATTAAACTAATTAAATATATACATAAATAAATAAAACAAACATGTGGCATATGGGCCACTTTATGGATATTCTTACATCAAAATGATAGGTCTTATTTTTTCCCTCATAATCTACCTTAACTAAAAGCAGTTCTCATAGTTTCTCTTTCGTATTCATTTACAGTGGCCTCTAACAAGACTACACTTGGCACCAAAAAAGGAGGCAACATTCTAAAAACTAGGAATGTTGTTAGCCAATAGAAATCTAGGAATGAGTATAAAGAATCAGGTCAGAAACTTAAAACAAAAGTTAAAGCGAACATATTTAAACAACTCCCATTGAATTTGTGAGGCAGACTAACTGCCAAATTGATAACATTTTCAACTCTTAAAGCGAACATATTTAAACAAAGTAAGTGTCACATTAATGAAATTGTTCTTACCAAAAAGCAAACGTCAGATGCCCAACTTAGATTCCCAAGAGTTGTGATAGTTTGGCGACTACGTTATTAAGATGCTCGACCTTTGTATTTGTCTCCTCTCTTGCTTTTTGTCCCTCCTCCCACTCTTTCAACATCTCATTGGCTAATTGAATGCGCTCCTCTCGCTTTTTCAATATCTCATTGTAATATCTCTCATGCTTCTCTCGCTCTTTCATTAACTCGTCATGATCTTTTTGTCGTTCCTCACGAAGTGTCTCTATGTCCTTATCGCATGCTCGTGATACAACTATGGTAGAAGGTTGTGGGCCACTCCCAAATCCAAGCAAATACATTTTCTTCTATCCAAGCACTTGCCTTGAAAGCTCCTCCTGTGTCAATGGCGTCCTTGACTCGATGGCAGCCGCTTGTACATTGACCATCTCTTGCTGTCATTGCAAATAAATAAGACAAAAAAAAGCTAACTAACATATATGTATTATTGGGTACTAAGTAAAGTCATATTGAATATAATTATTTCATTGTTGCATACTTACATGCAGCTCACCATATTTCGGATGGATCCAGTCATTCGTTTTCTTCGAAGTGTGGCTGTCCTCATAGAACTTAGGAAAATCCAACTCTCTAGTTTTTGCTACCTGTTAACACATCAACATATAAACAATGACACTTTAAGCAGATTTTTGCAGACATATTTTTTACAGATAGTATGTATAATAAAAGAGTTTTTGCAGACAGATTTGTAGTTTAGATATATTTCGAATTCAAACAAAGTTTTTGTAGACAGATTTCCATTGAGCACCAATATTCTAGTTTAGACAAATTTCACAAGTGGCAAGGGTATCATTAATAGATTTTTTTCAAACATATTTTTTGTAGATAGTAGATGTTTAATAACAAAGTTTTTACAACCAGATTTCTAGACAGAGTTTTTGCAGACATATTTCTAGACAGAGTTTTTGCAGACAGCAACAACATGTGGTGTTGAAAACATAACTATTTTACTTAAATGTCTGAGAATGTTATATATTTATACATTTCACATAACGGTTATTTTGTCCATAGTGTTATTTTAATGAGCATAAAATCCCTATTTTTTCTCCAATCAACATACATTGGATATGCGCTGTATTTATGAGTGCTGAAAGAGAGAGATGCCTTCTCTTCTCTGGATAAGATGCCTTTTTTTTGTCTTTTTTTTTGTTTTTGGTATATGAGTTCTATTATGTGTTTCATGTTTTGTGATAATACAACTACTTACCTAGAAAGAGAAAAAAAAAAGCATGAAATAGAAACATAGCTCTTCTTCTTTTGCTTTATAGTTTAATAACAGTACTAATAGACTCCAAATTGCCCCTAAAAATCACAACATAACATTTTCATATCCAAACAACATATAATAGATTTAATTTTAAATAAAATCAATCTCATCATAGCAGCCATTGCGATAGGAAATGAGCGAGACCCATTGGTATGATTGTATGACAATTGACTCCTGTTACTCTTGCCAGCTTTTGACCATTTCTAAAAATAAGACAAGCAGATAAACAAAATTTTGATAAATATTAAGGCATATCACATTTTGGCATAGATGTATGTACTCTTTCTAGTCTATTATTTTACCTAGTGAGATGCATCTTGCTATGCCACATCGATCAAATGCTTCCAATCATCTAAACTCACCCTTAGGGGTGGATGAGCATAGATCTCATCACTTGGAAGTCCCTCTAATAGTTCGAATTCTTGCTTCAAGGTGTACCTCCAATCTTTGTACAACCCATATACCTTCTTATTCACAATCTATTGTGCTTGTAAGTCATTGTGGAAATCGTCTCCAATTTCAAACTTGTCCTACAAGCATAACAAATGGAAATTACAATCATTAAATAAAAGTCTTTCTTATAAGTATACATAATACAATTACATCTTGTGGACAAGTAATATCAATTACAAGAATAGCTTGGATGACGGCATATTTTGTAGTCTCATCAAGATCCAGCCATGACTTGACATCTTTTACAGGGCACAAGCTCCTAATTTGAATTCCTAACTCGTTAGTTGCTGGAGTGGCATACTTGCTAGTCATTGCATTCAACGCATGATCAATGTGAACATAACATTTTTCCCCTTTCTTGGCTCTAATTATTTTTTTGTATTCCTTTGCCAAGTGTCGGTCCACGTACACGCGTGGGCTTCAAAGTCCCTGTTAACAAAATAATAATACGAAAATTGTAAATAATGGCAAGTGATAATTGACAAATTTGATACACTTTGATCTTACCTACGCCACTTGGCTGTGTTACGGATAGTGCTTGTGTCTCATTAGAATCAACCAATGGTGGGCTAGTGGCATGATGAGAAGGTCCCACATTTGATCGTACGGGGATAATAGAAGATGGAGCGACCGTTGATTCTAAAGGAATAGCAGTTGGCGAGTCTGTTATTGTGCTCGTGGGTGTCTTTTTCCGAAGCTGACCAGTCTTTAAGCCAGGAACCATTTTTCAAACTGCAATAACACAAGTAACACTATAAAGCATGATATACATGAAATAAAATACATTATAAAGCATGAAATACATGAAATAAATTAGACAAAAATTAATTAGAAAGCATGAAATAACTCAACTAATACATGCTTAATTACATTATAAAGCATGATATTGATAATTGATATGAAAACCTTGTCTTACAATTAATCATTCGAAGAACAAATATATAAAACCCTAATCTAATAGAATGAAACACTAACAACCTAAAGGACTAAATTAGTAAGGCCCCGGTGTCCCACATCGGGAATGGAGAGGGAGTTCCTGGGCTATAAAAGTAAAAGCTTGGACCCTTATATAGCATCGAGGCCTTTTCCCAAGTGGTGAAATCCCTATTAGAACTTCCCAGTTAAGCGTGCTTAGGCTGGAGTAGTTCTAGGATGGGTGACCCACTGGGAAGAACAAATCCGTGCGGGCGTGGCCCAAAGCGGACAATATCGATGACGTGTAAAGGGTCGGGGTGTTACAAATGGTATCAGAGCCGACTCTCCGGAGTACCGAGTGTGGGCCCCTGGTGTCTCTCGGTGCATGTGGGTGGGCTTGCGAGCTGGCAGGCTACTGCACGGGGACGTGCAGCCTTATGGGGAGTGGATTGTAAGGCCCTGGTGTCCCACATCGGGAATGGAGAGGGAGTTCCTGGGCTATAAAAGTAAAAGCTTGGACCCTTATATAGCATCGAGGCCTTTTCCCAAGTGGTGAAATCCCTATTAGAACTCCCCAGTTAAGCGTGCTTAGGCTGGAGTAGTTCTAGGATGGGTGACCCACTGGGAAGAACAAATCTGTGCGGGCATGGCCCAAAGCGGACAATATCGATGACGTGTAAAGGGTCGGGGTGTTACAAAATTATCCTTAATGAAAAATATAAACTACAATTCACGCCCCCCCCTCAAACTGAGGATGCGAGTGCAGAAAGTATCAAAAGTTTTCCAAGAAGAAAATGAAAATGAGCGACAGTGTGAGTCTTCGTAAAAAAATTGGCCAGCTGAAGAGAAGAGGGAACAAAAGGGAGAGCAATAGTGCCAGCCTGAAGATGCTGTCTGACAAAGTGACAATCTATTTCAACATGCTTGGTCCGCTCATGGAAGACTGAATTATGGGCAATCTGGATAGCACTCTGATTATCACAATACAACGGAGTTGGATCAGAAAGAGAGACACCCATATCATAAAGAAGCCACTGAAGCCAAACGATCTAGGAAGTAGCATAAGCCATGGCACGACACTCGGCCTCAACGGTGGAACGAGCAACAACAGACTGTTTCTTACTCTTCCAGGATATGAGAGAATCGCTGAGGAAAACACAAAGACCAGAAGTGGATTTGCGATCAGAGATGTCACCTGCCCAATCAACGTCAGCATAGGCACGATGAGTCAAGTCCGAAGAGGCAGATAACAACAAATATTGCAACAAAGTGCCACGAAGGTAGCGCAAAGTATGAAGTAAGGCAGCCCAGTGTGTGGGACAAGGAGCAGAAACAAACTGACTGAAAATGTGCACAGCATAGGAGATATCCGGGCGAGTAACGGTGAGATAAACAAGGCACCCAACCAACTCGCGATACAAAGTGGGATCCTCAAGAGAAACACCATCAGAAGCAGAAAACTTAGCATGCAACTCAAGAGGAGTGTCGACAATTTTGTCATCAGTGAGATTGGCACGAGAAAGAATATCACGGGCATATTTAGTTTGAGAAAGAAGATATCCAGTAAGAGAAGTGGCAACCTCATTACCAAGAAAATACCAAAGAGACCCCAAATCCTTCATCTCGAACTCCTGAAACAACTGATGCTTAACCTCCTCAATAGTACAAGAATCAGAGCCAGTGATGATCATATTATCCACATATAGGAGAAGGAGAACAATGCCAATAGAAGTGTGCCAAACAAAGAGAACACAATCATGATGACTAGGGCGGAAACCAAGCTGAAGTGCAACAAAGTGAAATCGCTCATACCAAGCATGAGGAGACTGCTTGAGACCATATAGAGCACGACGAAGATGACAAACAACACTAGGAGGGTGAGAGAGACACGGTAGAGGGCGAATATACACTTCTTCAGCAAGAAGAAGCAGAAAACTTAGCATGCAACTCAAGAGGAGTGTCGACAATTTTGTCATCAGTGAGATTGGCACGAGAAAGAATATCACGGGCATATTTAGTTTGAGAAAGAAGATATCCAGTAAGAGAAGTGGCAACCTCATTACCAAGAAAATACCAAAGAGACCCCAAATCCTTCATCTCGAACTCCTGAAACAACTGATGCTTAACCTCCTCAATAGTACAAGAATCAGAGCCAGTGATGATCATATTATCCACATATAGGAGAAGGAGAACAATGCCAATAGAAGTGTGCCAAACAAAGAGAACACAATCATGATGACTAGGGCGGAAACCAAGCTGAAGTGCAACAGAGTGAAATCGCTCATACCAAGCATGAGGAGACTGCTTGAGACCATATAGAGCACGACGAAGACGACAAACAACACTAGGAGGGTGAGAGAGACACGGTGGAGGGCGAATATACACTTCTTCAGCAAGATGCCCATTCAGAAAAGTATTTTTGACATCTAGTTGAAACAAAGGCTAGTGATGGGCAGTGGCAATAGAAATAAGAGTGGAAACAGTAGTCATCTTGGCAACAGGGGCAAAAGTCTCATCGTAATCAATCCCATACTCATGAGAAAAGCCTTGGGCAACCAAACGAGCTTTGTACCGTTCCAAAGACCCATCAGAAAGGGTTTTGACCTTATAGACCCATTTACAGTCTACAACATTCTTGTCAGCAACTAATGGAACCAAATCCCAAGTTTGAGTGTTAGCCAAAGCAGTTAACTCGTCATTCATGGTAGCAATCCAATTGGGATCATGACAAGCTTCCTTGTAGGACTTGGGCTCAAAATATGTATGAAGACAGGAAAGAAAAGATTGATAGGAAAGGGAAAAACATGTATTACCAAAACCATACCAGTTCCGAGGATGACGGTCTCGTTGTGGAAAGCGGTGTGCAGAAGGAGCAGGATCCAAAGAAACAGTTGGAGGGTCAATAGAGCTAGAGACAGGCGAGCTCGGAAGTGCTTTGCGGCGCTGATAAACAAAAAGAGGAGCAGGGGAAGCAGGAGCTGGAGAGGAAGTAGTTGACGAGATATCAAAAGTGCTAGTAAGAGGCAAAGCAGAGACCTCAAGATCAGAAACAAACTCATTAGGAGAAACATCAAGAGGAAATGGGTCAACATAAACCAATTCATCCTTAGTAATAGGGACAAGGGTGGAAGGTATAGTATAGTAGGGTAGCTTTTCTAAAAAAGTGACATGCCTAGACACATATAGCTTTTTGGTGGTAGGATTGTAGCACTGATAACCTTTCTGATTAATGCCATACCCTAATGTTAATCATATTATTTAATTTTGATGATGTTTAAAATATTATTTGTAACAATTTGGATTTTTTTTATGTACATATTTATTTGACACAAAATATTATCTTTTTAAAATATATATATTTGTTAAATATTAGTTAAATAAAAATATTTTTAAAAACTTTACTATTCACTTTTTGAAAATTTAGGATGATCACTATTCACTTTTTGACCAAATTAAAAATTGATTAATTATATTATTTTGACAAAAATGATTGATTAGTTGTAATATTTTGACAAATTTGATATTGATGGGTTGTCTTGTTTTGACAAAATTAATATGGAGTAGTAGGATATATTTAGTTTAAAATCTCTACAACATATACAATATTTTAAAGAGGACATATATTTTCAAATCCATCATAACTATTATTTAAAGAAATTTTTCTATGTATGCAAATATTTGATTAGAACATTATATATATAACTTTATATATATAACGCATATAATACAAAGTATACATCACGGAGCAATTATATTTTTTTTACACAACATTGATTGTATCATATATATTAGTGTGTAGAAATATTGAATATTAGCATATGAAAACATTAATTATTAGCATGTGAAAAGTCATACAAGATATAATTCAAATTAATTTTTCTTTTTCTTTTTCTTTTTTGTACACTTTTGACTAAAACCTAAAGATGTTCAAATTTGTAAGAGTGCAAATTTTCTTACACGTGATTCTCTTCCAAACTAATGTCATCCATGATGTCAGCAAGGAGCGTGCTTATGTAAGCCATGACGTCAACAAGGAGCGTCTAACGGGTATATTTTTGTGCATAAATAGAAGTGTTGTGTGTGGAGAAAAATCAAGAACTTGAAGAGAAAATTTTCTGCGAGCTCCAAAATTCTGAATATATTGTATTATGCTCTTTCACTTTCAGATCTGAGTCCAGCCTTTGTTCTTACACTTTCATATCTACTTTTTGTGAGAGAATTATTGTAAAAGAGGGTTTAAGTACCACTTATTCTTATTCCTTATTTTTGTGAGAGATTTTGTAAGGGTAAGGCATTTATTGTTGAGTGAGGCTCAATAGATAAGAGTAAATCCTGTGCCAAATCCACAAGCTTAGTGGTGTGTTTATTCAATTGATAGTAAATAAATTCTCAAGGAGGTTCCTTGGAGAGTGGACGTAGGCCTGGCGTGCCGAACCACTATAAATCGCAGTGTTTGATTTTCTCTCTCTATCTTTCTTACTTTTATATTCATAATTATTATTATTTTTTTTATTAAAATTCTGAATATTGTGTTAATTTTAATATTGTGAAATTTTTAATAACCCAATTCAGCCCCCCTCTTGGGTTGCCTATCTGGGATAGCACCTAAGAAGACACATAGGACACAACGGGAACTAAGCTTTGAGCGCACTCGTTTAGAAAGGAGCACAAAGCATGTAGAACCGAAAATACGAAGAAGATAATAATTGGAAGTAACACCAAAAAGACGCTCATAAGAAGATGAGCCTGAAAGAAGAGAAGTAGGCATCCGATTGAGAAGATATACAACAGTGAGCACAGCTTCTCCACAGAAAATAGAAGGGACAAAAGACGAGAGCAACAAAGAGCGAGCTGTATCAAGGAGATGGCGATGTTTGCGCTCAGCTCAACCATTTTGTGCAGAAGTGTCAGAACACGAAGACTAATGAATAGTGCCATGAGTAACTAAATAGTCCTCAAACTCAGACAAGTAATACTCACCCCCCAAATCAGAATGAAGAACTTTAATGGTGGTGGAAAACTGAGTGTGAATCATGGAGTGAAAATTAGAATATATTTTGCAAAAATCAGATTTTCTAGTCATCAAATAAACCCAGGTAAATCGACTGTAATCATCCACAAAAGACATAATATTGCGAACCACCCTTGGTAACTATAGGGGAAGGACCCCAAACATCAGTATGAACCAATTGAAAAGGAAAAGATGAAATGGAACTACTTTTATTAAAAGGAAGAGCAGACATTTTAGCCAATTTACAACCACAACACTCAGAAATATCATGAATGGGAAAATTGCCTAAATGTCTAGACCGAACTAACATCCTCAAACGATCACTCAACATATGACCTAACCTAGAATGCCAAATATAAAATAAAGAGGACTTATTGTTTAAACAAAAAGACGACAATGCAGTAGAAGACGCTTCTGGAGGAACATGCAAACTATCCAAGATATATAGTTCTCCAACTCTATGCCCGATCCCAATCTGCCTTTTGGATACCTGATCCTGCACAACACAATGAGAAGAAGAGAAAACAACATCAAAATCGGAATCAGATAATTGACTAATAGAAATAAGACTGAGTGAGAGGTGAGGCACATAAAATACAGGAGAAAAAGACAAATGGGAAGAGGAAATAGAACCAATAGAGTGTACAGTCATAGAAGAACCATTAGCGGTAGCAATAGTGATAGAAGAAGAAGGTGAGACATAATTACTGAGGAGAGATGCAACAGGGGTCATATGATGTGAACAACCAGAATAAAAAATCCACGAAGTGCGGATATTACCTGAAGATGATGAACCAGACAAACCTAACTGAGTGGTAGTCATAGCGGAGGCCTGAGACGAAAGATCTGGATTGGCCACCATGAAAGACTTGAACTGCTCAAACATAGACTGCATATTGGAAGATGGACCATTCTTAGTAACTGGTGCAGAAAAGGCGACAAATGAGCGTGATCCTAAAAATGTTGGCTTAGCAAATGGTGGACCAGATGAACGACCCTTGAGCTGTAAAAGTTTTGGACAAGCATGTTTCCAATGGCCTTTCTGATGACAGAAGCTGCACTCGTCCATGGAAACCTAAGGCTTGGGTTTACCAGTAACCTGAAATAAAGGAGAAGGTGGGGTGGGCAAGAGCGGATGAGTGGCAAAAACTGACTGGGAAGCAGAAGCACTATGAGCCACCTTAAACTGAGTTTCTTCCACAATAAGCTCACGGACAGCACCATCCACAGAAGGCAAAGGAGACCGATGAAGAATAGCTCCCCTAAGTGGCTCAAATTGATCACGAAGGGCCATAAGAAATTGAACCAGATGTTGTTTCTTCCGATACTTGGTATAACTGTCAAGTAACTGCAAATCTGATGGTTCTATCAAAGCAAGCTTATCCCAATAAGTAGTCATTTCATTGTAGAACTCCTGAATGGACTTATCTTTCTGACTAGCACTGCGAATAGACATATCAAGTTCATACTATTTTGTAAAGTTAGACCAAAGGTACATAGTTTTCAAATAGTCCCAAACTTGTTTAGAAGTAGAATACTTGGAAAAATTCATACCAATGGTAGTTTGAACTGAATTATGAAACCAAGTAAGAATTTGTGCATTTTCCTTATCCCATTTAGCAACATCGGCCTCAGTTTCTTGAGATTCCATAGGTCTAATAGTCACACCAATAACATAGT